TTATAAAACTGTTAGAAACATTTTAAATATTTATTATATGTAAATTACTTTTTAATGTTCTATAAATAATTACTATTAATTATTATAATTTTATAACTTCATTATTTTTATACTGAACTTAATATTTGAATTCCATTATCAATTTACTTAAAATTGTGATTTCAGAATAACAGAAACTAAGGATGGCAGACATAGAGGATACTCACTTTGAGACCGGAGACTCCGGTGCTTCTGTAACATACCCAATGCAATGTTCAGCTCTGCGTAAAAATGGGTTTGTTATGTTGAAATCTCGACCATGTAAAATTGTAGAAATGTCAACTTCCAAAACAGGAAAACATGGTCATGCCAAAGTACATCTTGTAGGCATTGACATTTTTACTTCCAAAAAGTATGAAGATATTTGTCCGTCTACGCACAATATGGATGTGCCATTCGTTAAGCGGGAAGATTACCAGGTATTTAAAATTAAGTTTATAAAGTTATTTCATGTTGATATAATATAACAATGCTATATGTGTTATTTGTATTAAATTTCATTTCTGCATTAATTATTTGTTAAAGTAATTATTTATTGGCAGCTATTAAGTTTATTGTATGTTCTTAAAATAATATAATTCTGTTGACAATATAAGATTGTTTTGATTATGAATTATATTATAAACTAAATATTAATTTTTATTGTTCCTATTATTTATTGAAGATGGAAGGTTTTTAATTATTTTATTCTTATTCTATTTTAGACTTTTTATTGTATTTAATATATACATTTAATATTACAGCTAGCAGACATATCTGATGATGGCTACTTATGCCTGATGGCTGATAATGGTGAGCTTCGTGAAGATTTAAAAATTCCTGATGGTGAATTGGGTGCTCAGTTACGTACTGATCATGATGCTGGAAAAGAACTTCTTGTGAGTATTACTTTCATACAAAATATCAATTTTTTATAATGATTCTACTAGAGAAAGTCATGAACATTATTGTAATTCATTCATTATGTTAAATGAAAGTTTATTGTAAAATGTTTTTTATATTATTAAGTTAAATATTGAAAAATAATTATAAAGATATATGCAAATTTATAAAATTGACAAAGTTTATTATGGTTTTCATATGTATCTTGTATTGCTTATCTAATAAACAAAATTTGTTTGCATTTTGTAATATTATTATTTCTTAAAAATGTTTTCATTGAAATATGTGATATTATAGTATTATTTATCTTAATTTATGTGTAACATTGTTATTATCTGTCGTTGTATTATAAAAAATTTCTTCAGTTTACATATTATGTATGCATTATAATATTGTATAGATACAAAATAAATAAAAATTGTTTATATTAATTGAAAAACAAAATTCTTTTCTTTCAGTGCACTGTGCTGAAGGCATGTGGTGAGGAGGTCGTGATCGCCATTAAAACTAACACTGCCATCGATAAATAATTGTGTTCAGTCCAGACTCTACCATCACATTAAAGAAAAAATAAAACACACACAGCTAATATATTATTAAGAGAAACCTAAGATACAATACAAGATGATCAATGGTTAACATAAGGACTACTACCAGCAGCAAATAGAAAGGAAAAGAGTAAGGGACACGTGAAAAAAGAATAAAAAGAATGGAAATGAAATAACAAGGAAAAAGAAAGAGGCAACATAATTTAAAAAAAAAAAAAAAAAAAAAAACTGGAAAGAAGCGAAAAATAATGTGCGTGAGCGTGTAAGTGTGAGGGAGGAGAGGATTACAAATGATGAAATAATTGCAAAAAAAAAAAATTAAAAAAAAAGAAAAACAAATAAAAAGAGAATAAACCAAGAAACAGTATCAGCTTAGACTTTGGGATAAATGAATGTTTTGGCGGCTTAAAACGTTGAAATTAAAAGGCAATTTTGACAGTGAGAAATTTCAGAAGAGAACTATTTCGCCTTGATTTGTGATTTCTAAAATTTCAACATGATTAGAATTTTATTTCTATTGGAATTTCAAAAATATCTTAGTAATAATATGTAATATTCTATCTGAAACTACAATTTTATTGAAATTCTAGTATTCCTAAAATTCTAATTATCAAAAAATTTTGTTTCTTCACAAAAACTCTTTCTCTCTATATATTTTAACTGAAGTTTCAATTCCTTTACAAGTTTAATTTTTCAAATTTTCTGTTATATTCCAACTTAAATTCTATTTGAATATATAAAATTCCAATTACGTTAAAACTCTAGTGCTTATAACAACCCTATTTTTGTTGGAATTCTGTCTTTTTTTCAGTATAGTTCATCAATTCTTTATTATTAAAATTGTATGTTTTCAAACTCCGGGCTTGATTTAAAATTAATATGTTATTTTGGTTTTGACGTCTTTTTTTATATAATTATAATCCTGTCTAAACTTTATTAGAATTCTCTGCCATTGAAATTTCGTTTAAAAAATTCATGCTTTACTAGAAATTCCTAGTATCTATTATTTATCCAAAATCCTTATTTCATTACAACTTATTTTTATAAATTTTCACTTTTATAATTTTCATTTTATAAAAGTATGAATTCTAAAATTCTTTCAATTTTTTAAATATGTATTCATAACTTCGATATAATAAAAAGTACTACAATATATTTCTTAAATTCATACAAAAATAAAAAATCTACATTTCTTGCTCAAAATTTGAAGTATAATTCCACATTTGTAATTACAAAAGAATATTTGAAATTATGAAATTTAATTTTTTGCATATATTGATGAATTTTTATTGGTTTCCTATGTAGATTAAAGATTTTATTTCAAACTCACATTGTAATGTTATTTTGTATTTTAATAATTTTCGTATCTTCGATATTCTGAGATTAGAATCGAAACTTCAAACTCAATGAATATTAAGCTCATAAACCCTAACACAAAATTTTGGAATTCAATTTGAATTTTAGGCTGCATACATGTAATTTCAAGTATAACTATAAACTTGAATTCTAAAATTTTATTATCTAATTTTGACTTTTTATTTGAAATTTGAGTCATGATGTATCTATTTAAGTTGCATTAAATGCTCTATTTCAAATTAGACCATACCATCTATGAAAATATAAGAAAATTTAAGAAATATAAAAGATGAATGATTAAAAAAAACAACTAAGCTACTATAATCTAAGCAGACTAATTTAAGATTATTAAGACGACCTAGATAAATGAATTTAATCGATAAAAAATCTGAAAAAAAAGAAGAACGAATCAATCGGCCTCACGGTCGTATTTCAACCACGAGAGACGGAAATCATTTTTTTTCTGCTTCTCGATATTCGGTTTGATTAATTATACACCACTGCTGGTCGTTTCTTTAAATTCTAACGGTTTATATTAAAAATAGTTTTCAGGCACAACAGATTAAAATTAATCATTTATTCTGTAAGCACGAATGTCAAATGATATTTCGAGAATATTATTTTTTAAAATATCTTTAGTATTAAAAATCTAAAATATCTAATTTAAGCTATCAGTTATATACTTGATAAATAATTACTAGTATTTATGTAGCGATAAATAAAATCTAAACAATTAATAAAACTTATTTCAATTTGAAAATATTCTTGAAATATTATTCTTTAATTCTATTACGCACGTATTAAATTAATGTGCGAAATATTAAACTGTAATCATTTTAACACACGTCAGTATATAGATATTTTTAAAAATGCATAACCAGCATTGGCGTATATAGGCAAACAAACGCGTATACACAAATACACATATACAAGTACACACAGTGGTAAAGTATATGTAACTACACAAGTATATACGAAAGTACACGATTATGGAAATTAAAACAGAACATACAGACGTAAAGTATATAAGTAAATGGATACCAACGAGCATTTGTTTATACGGCAGGAAGATAAATGGATAAATAAATGAGAAAAAAGCCGTCGATGCTTTTGTGTCAACCTTCGATAATATTTTGTTGTTCTTATAATGGTACTTTATTGAAAATCTGAATCTTAATGATTTTGCTATTTTTTTTATCTTATTAACTGACTTAATATTACATTCATTTAAGTTAATTAAAACTGTCAAAATTAAATTGAAATTTTTATCATTTTCCTTCACAATTTCATAATTTTAGTACAGTTTTATATTTAAAATGTTTTTTATTACTGATTTACATTGTTTAAAGATTTTTACTTTCCATAAGTTTATTGCTGTTATATTATAGATATTAATGCAGAAATTAACAGTAATAATAATTATAAGAACGCAAATTAAACTCAATTACATTAAATAAACTATTCTACCCAATTAAAAAAGTATTCTGTAAAATTTATGTTATGAAATTTTTAGTGAAATTTAATTAACATTTGTTGAAATTAACTATCAAGTCAATCTTTATAAAATTAGTAATCACAAAACAGTATGTAAATATTATTTTTATTCTTATTTTAATTTGACGCAATTTGAAATTTACTAAAATCAAGTACTTAGGCGGGAAATTAGTGAACAACTTGTTAGACGTTTATTCGCAAATATTCTCTTTAATATTCCTACATTTTCAAACATTAATACTCTTATATCTCGTATTATTAATAATTATTAGTGATTAAGAAAACATTACGAGTACCATACATACATACGTGCACGCACGCAGGCACACACACACGCACGCACATGCATATGTGTGTGTGATTGGCTCTATACAATTGAAGTATACATACTACATACACGCATACATATGAAGAATATGTCAAAGATATGTAACACAAAAACAAGAATGTATCTTGAATGTGCTATGACCGCTTTTTTTTAAGATTTATTCGTTGTAAAAATGAGATACGTTTATACAAGTATAAAACATGTTTTATAACTTATGCCTATATGCATTAGATATTGTGCGCTAATTGGGTAATCGATAATTTTATAAAAATTAATTTTTATTAAAAAAATGCGTAGAAACATTGTTATAAAGGTTTTGTACGTTTACATAAATCAACTTTCGATGAATATAACGAGAAATATAATTTATAAAATTAATAATATATAATAGATTAAATTATGAAAATGTTTAAAACCTTCATAACAAGTCTTTACAAATAAATTTAAATTAGTAAAAACAGCGCAGAAAGAATTGTAAAGAATGATAAAATACAGATATATAAATTTGTTTATGTATTAAAGAACGAAAAACTTGAAACAAATACGTAAGCTATGAAAATTATTTTAAATCGATTATTTCGAGATTTAAATGCAACATTAACTTGGAGTGTTACATACCTTTAAACACATTACGTATATATGCGCGCGTGTATGTATGTATGCATTTATATATGTATACACATACGCGCACCCGTATATACACATATAAAATTCAACACTCGTAATGTCTCTTAATATTTTATTCAAAATCTCGACATAATTAATAATTGATATTCAATTATTCATTCTTTAATTCTTTAATACTTCAGGAAAAATTTATCTTTACCGTTGCACCCTGTATATCACAGGAAACTGTTCAAAAACTCTCGTCACAGTAATTGTAACAATTCGAATCTTAATTTCATCATTTATGATTCCTTTTTCATTTCTTTCATTTTTTCTCTTTTATTGACACTCTTCAAAATCGAAGGAAAGCTGATCTCCCTCGCAAGATCAATTGTTAGCATTTCTCCTTTGTAGCGCGGCCGCAAGATCCTGTCTAAGAGCAGCTTGTTGTCTTTGATCAGCTAAAGATTGAACAGATCTTAAGCCATTTACAATATCTTTTGTTTTTCCGAAATAGATTTCATTTAGGGTGTTTCGGATTTTATTTTCCATATCTTCAACCATGCGACCGATATTAGCAATATGTGGTGAACTCTCGCTTATTTGGGCGTCTTGTTCAACCTGAGCAAAATGTTTCATCAAATTTAATCACATTCAGAAAAATATCTCAACTTTGAATTCATTTTAGCATACTTTTAGAGCTTTATATAAAACAATAATACTCAAAGATTTAATCATAATGTAGGAAATAATTATAAACAAACCTGTCTTGTAAGACTTCCACCAAGATTCATTGTTCCAGATCCATGTTTATTAGTTTGTAACCAAAGCATTGCAGTAGAAGTTAATTTATAATGTGCAATCCTTCCAATAGATTTTTCTTGAACTTCTACTACATGAATTGAATCCCAACATCCCTTAATCTTTTTTGAACCATCACCTGCTTTTTTAATTAATATCACTACTGCAAAACCATGATCTAAATCCCACAGATAGACAGAAGACACTCCACCTTCAAAATAAAGTTCTCTATATTGATCAAATGCATGATTTGCATCTATCTCTAATTTTCTAAGTCTTTCAGAAGGCATTGAGCCATCTTCTAGAGGTGGATCGTATGTATTACTCCAAGGAGACCTGGAAAATAACTGTGTATTGTAAAATATCTTCATTGCAATACTCATTTATTTAATATTAATAAAACAAAATAACAGAATGATAAAAATACTACATAATTAACATAATTATAGAAAGAAGACAATAAAGAATTTGTTTTACACTTACCTGTAGGAATCTCCATCTCTATTATAGTCACAAAGTAAGTAATCTTTCCCAGATTCTTTATCTTTTGCAATTTTTAAAGGCTGATCAACAGAAGATAGAAGATCTTCACACAGAGATGGCACTAGATCTATTAAGTCACTTAAATTTTTTTCAATTTGTTGGGGTGGCAATCTTCTCATCAAATCTAATGCACAATCCATCTGAAGGTCCGTCTTTGAAATTAATATATAATGATAAATTCAATTTAATTTATAATATTTTTGTAACCAGGTAAATTATCTTTTTATATTTTCAATCATATCCTCGATAAAGGCATAATTTAAAACATTTATAATAGAACTCAATTTAAATTTATATGTACAATATACATATATATGTGTACAATATAATATCTATATATATATATA